ATCTGAACCCAGCCCTCTTTCCTGCCTATGCAGGGGGTCAGACTCGATGATCTATTGAGGTCCCTTTCGACCCTAACATCTATGATTGTAGGTGTTCAGTCCTCTGGGAATGATGTTGTGTTACATTGCTGTTGAGTTTGGCTTCTTTCTTCTTCATGTTGTGAAGTTTCCATTCAAACAGCAAAATTCAGTATCTTCCATGCTTTAGGGTTGTTGGTTGTAGCTGTGTTGGTCTAAGGACACAGGCAGACAAGGTTCTTTGGGTAAATATGACAGCCTTTATTAAACCAACTAAATAGTTGAAAAAATTGTTCTTTGCAAGCTTTCAGGCACTAATGCCCTTCTTCAGGCATAGGGAGAATCTGCTGGAGAGTTTTTGGGCTGTCACTTTTGTTCTCCAGGGTGTAAATTAAGGGGGCGCTTGGGCAAGGGGAGGGGCGGAGGTGCTGAGCCCCCTCATAAGAGATGAGAGCCCCCCCCCCCCCAATAAGATTTGAATATCATAACCGGAGTGGGGCGAGGGGAGAGGAGGTCTCCAATCAGATTGCTCTTTCACTTAGGTGGACTTGTTAATTAATGAACCAGTTTAATTTTTTTTGAAGACTCCCTTCCCCATAAGAGTCAAAGTGTAAGAGAAGACTCTTGCACTTTGGTGTTCTCCATGGTGGAAGAGAAGCCAATATGCAAAATGCAGGTCTTGGGGTATCAGACTGCAGGCAGGTTATAATATGCCATAAATCCAATGTCTATATTTAATCTATGATTTTTTTGTATCCAGTGGATTTATGAAGTGAAGTTTGTAGGCTCATCTACAAAAGATGTTTTGTAAATTCCCTTTGAGGATTAGAACTAAGAGATTGGATTGCACTCAGTAAACTGTGATCTGTAAGACAGCTGCAAGCTGTTGCGTACACCATGATCCAGAAGAATCAATGGTTGCCTACTACTCATACAGAGCAGGCTGTATACCTTTTCTATTGGATGTGGTAAAACATAATTCCTTGATGGGTCAGGCTTAATTTATTTTGTTAAGAGCACTCTCCTTACATACTCTTCCTTCTCCACCCACAATATCAAACATGGACTTACAGTTATTAATGTGCTCTGCTTGTCCCTGATTCCTGCCTTGTTCTTTTCTCTGCAGGTACACATCAAAGATAGACTGTGTGCAGTTCTGCTGTATGGAAAGAGAAAAGAATGTGCTAAGGTGATCCAGTCCTTAGAGACGGGCACAATATAGAAGTCTGAATAAGGTACAGAAAATCCACATCTTCCATCTGAAGTACAAGAGAAATGTTTGGAACAAAACAGTGTATGTTGGAGTTTAGCAAGGGCTTTTGACTGGACACATCTCCTAGTCAACATCCCTCTTCCCTGGCAACCTAAGGCAAGTGGGGGTGTCTGGCTTCATAGTGTTACTTCATAGTCTTTCAGAGAGCTTCAAAAAGTTGCTTATATGCTCTACAGAAAAACTGCAAGTAGCTTGAACCTAAAGGCCTTATTCAAGTCCCACCACACACCTGGAAATGATTATTTCTGATGTTTTACACCTTTTATTTTGTACCATGAGTGCCTAAGATCAGCACCCCATTATGGTAGGTGCTGTACATACATACAATAAGTAGTAATCCCTGCCCAAGGGAAAGAGCTGGGGGGAGGCAAAGGAAGTAGGAATATCTGATAGGGAACTAAGTGTGTGACAGTAAGTGACTTATACAGGAGATAGCAATTAAATAACGATGCAGTAGGAGACCATCCTTCTGCACATTGAGGTGTAATGCTTGTACTGTTCATGCCAGATGGGAACTCTGAAATAAACATCGTATCTAATTTGTCTCCATGTCCAGCTCAGTGGCTGGACTTCTAGTAGAATGCTCCTAAACCTTTTGGAGATTTCTGAACTATTACACTAATCATGTGAAAAGCACTTTAATCCTCCTTTGTAACAGCATGTTAAAAAATATTTTGGCTATGTTGAAAAATAAACCTAATGTGCATGTTTTGCTCTGCTGTTGCTTTCAGTCTGAAGTACCTCAAATCCAAAGTTGGCAGCAGTTGATTTTATAAGGTGTAGGATAAAACTTATGACAGCATTGTTCTTACAGCCCTGTTCTTTGGTACAGCTTTCATATAAGAATCTGCTTGTATTTGCAATTGTCTGATGTTTAACTATAGAAGCATTAAGCATTTGCTAGGTGGTTGGCTCTGACCCCTTGTTTACTTGTTTTCCAGGTTATAGTTGAATCCTTGATTGATTTCCAGCTATCTGCTGCCATCCTGTGGAGATAATGAAACACTGCATGATGTCAATGGTGAATCCTGGAGCTGGTAGGAAAATCAGACCATTTGTAGACGACACTTTAAAGCAGGTTTAAAGCAGGTTAAATGACTTTTGCACCACTTTAATGGCATTGCTGTTTGCACATTTGGCAGTGTAATGTGCCTTAAATGACTTCAGGATGCAGCAAATGACTTTGGGGCACTGAAAAGGAAGAGTTTTAGTTTCCTACCCTACAGCGGCAGAGGGAAGCACTGGGCTCTGTACAGCTCAGGAGGTGTGCAGGCAGACCATGCAGGCAGCCTGGCAGCAGCCTGGGAAGGCAGGCTCCACAGAAGGGAAAAAAAAAAAGCAGCAAGCCTGGTTTCCCTCTCCCCTGGATCCTGCCTGAGCTGTGTGGGGGCCTGGTGCTTCCCTTCATGGCTGCAGTGCCCCGCAGAACTGCCCGAGCCGGGTGTTGCCTGGGGGTGGCCATCGCTGCCACAGAGGGAAGCACCAGAAGCTCAGGGACTGCTCTGCCTGCCAGCAGCTCACTCTCCTCTCCCCGCCACTGGAGAGGCAGGTAAGGATTGGGCAGACACAGTGTACATGACATGGGGGTTTACTTCGCCCTAAATTGAAGCAATGTTTTTAAAAAACTACCACTTCATTTTAGGGAGAATTAAACCCCCATGTCATGTACAAATGCCCTCAGGTTCTCTCATGGACCATCTCAGCAAAAACGGGGGGAAAATGCATGTAAGATTACAGATGAAAGTTTTGACATTTATCAAAAAAGGTCACTTTAGGCCCTATGTTCACTTTTATCTTGAAATTTTCTGTAGAAAGCAGATGTTTTTCACAAATAAATTTTAGTTGGCAATCTAGTATCATTGAAATCCAGGTTTGATAGAAAAATTCTGTTAGTGAATTCCCAAAATATGATCATAGTATTAATAAGGAAAAAAGACCCATCAAATTGGACTCAGTTGGAAAAAGTATCATATATTAATATCATCCACTCTCTTATCCACAACAGTCTACAATAATAGGGCCTGAAACTGCAACCAGCATTGGGTGTGTTTTTATACCTCAACAGAGCTTTTTCAGGCATCAAATCAGTGGTTCTATTCAAATGCCACAGCTCTATTCTTATAGAGGACATTACACTGAATCACTGTGTCATTCAGTGTAATGTCCCCTATAAGAATAGAGATGCTTGAATTATAGTAGAGATTTGGGGATTGAACTCTAGAATTCTACCAGTTTGTGGATATTCTACTAGAGCAGAGTACATACAGGTTTCCCTCACTTTATGCTGTACATGAGTTCCTGGAAAACAGCGCATAACTCAAATTTGCGTAAAGGGAACCCACTTTACAATGTAAAAAATAGGGATACGTTCCAAGACCTCAACTGTACTGTCCTCCACCCCTCCCCCCCAACCCATTTCTACCACTTTTACAAGACAATTTTGGTACTCACCAACAGCAGACAGTACACACAAGCACAGGGTGGTGGTGAATGTTTAGTTGGTGTCAAGAGAGGGTGGTGAAGGCTTCATTGATAGACCAAGGAGAGGGGCAGGAGATAAACTAGCGGGAACCTTATAAGTCATAACGGGGATGGCAGTTACAGAAACACGTGTCACAGACAACGAGAGGGAAGCACAGATCCACACAGGAGACTGTATTTTGGCGTGTGTCACTCCCACAATGCACTGCACAAAGCAGCTGACTGCGGGCTTCCACCACACCAATAGCATAAAAGTGAATTTACCTTGCATATAATGAATTTTTGGTATAAAAAGGGTCATCACATAAGAGTTAATTTGCACATACAGAACCTGCATAAAGCAAGGAAAACCTGTACTATTAAGGCTCTTATCTTCTGTCCCAGGTAAGTTTACAGAAGTCCCATTGTTTTGTCTTCAGTACCCAGATAAATTACTTATCGAAAAACCAAGCTACAAAGGCGATTTTCTATCAAGTCGGATGTTTCCAGCACTAGGCTAATTGGTAAATGATCACATACCCCAAGGGACCAGCTCTTTAGTGAGTTAAAGCTGGAGTGCCTAGAATGGGAGGCTACTTCAAAGTAGGGTGCAGTAACAAAAGTAGAACTGGTATTCAGGGATTTTTAGGCAGCTAGGGTGGACAAAAAGTGTCCTGTTGCCTTCCACAACTGAGCAGGACTTCCTTTGCTTTTTCTTTTTTCTGTGCCACTCTTACTTTTCAAGAATAAAAATGGGAATGTAGCTAAAAGTGGGAAATTATAAAATAGGTTTGTTCATGAATTAACATGACTTGCAGGGGAAGAATCAATATGGCATCTGTATGCAGTTTTGGGCTCTATGTTTTAAAAAGGATATGGAGAACAGTCCAGAGGTAGGCAACAAGAATGATAAAGGGCTTGGAAAGCAAATCATAAAAGGAGAGGCTGAAAGTGGTAAGTATGTTTAATTTGCAGAAAAGGCATTTAAAAGAGGACATGGTAGCAGTCTTGAAATACTTAAAGGGCTACCATAAAGAAGGAAAAGTGTTTTCTATCTTGCTGCAGAGAGTAGGGTACAGACATATGGCTTGAAGTTGCAGCAAAGTCAGTTTAGATTGGATATCAGGAAAAACGTCTTCACTGTTAGTTAGAACTATGAAGCAGTGGAATAGACTGCCTAGGGAAGCTGTAAACTCTCCATCACTGGAGGTGTTAAAGAAGAGGTTGAACAGCCACTGGTCAGGGATGATCTAGGCATAGCTCTGCCTGTGTTCTGTTATTGGTATTTCCCATGCTTCTGGACTTTGCTGACTGCCACATAGGGCTCCTCCCTTCCCTTCCATACCCCCTTGTTCCTTCCTTCTCTTACATACCTCCCCTACATGTCAGGGTTTTTTTAATCCTTCTTCAGAAGTATTGGGTGTTGCCTGCTGCCAACGCTGAGGATTGTGACTGAAGTGTGCCAGTACTCCTCCTTTGGAGGTTCCTTCCTACCCTGCTTCTCTGTGATCTGTAAAAGGAGGTCATGCCTCACCAATCTGTTAGGGTTTTTTGAGGGTGTTGACAAACATGTGGATCAGGGTGATCTGGTTGATCCAGTGCATCTGGACTTTCAAGATGCTTTTGACTAAGTTCCGCACCAAATGCTCTTCATGAAAATTAGGTGGTCATGGGACCAGAAGCAAAGTCCACCTGTGGATCAGTAACTATCATGACATATCACCTGGACAAGGGAGAAGAGATTGACATCATATATCTGGACTTTAAAAAAACCTTTGATCTGGTGTCCCATGATCTCCTTATGCAAAAATTGGCCAAATGTGGCCTCGTCTACACCACAGTCCGATGGCTGGGAAATTGGCTCCGAGGTCAGGCCCAGAGAGTAGTAGTTGATGGAAACGAATCATTATGGTGCTCCGTGACCAGTGGCATCCCCCAAGGCTCTGTCCTTGGGCCAGTTCTCTTCAACATCTTTATCAACTATGTGGACATTGGTGTCAGAAGAGGACTGGCCAAGTTCACCGATGACACTAAAATTTGGGGCATAGCGACCACACCTGAGGATAAGCTAGTGATCCAGGCTGACTTGGATAAGCTTAGTAAGTGGGCAGATATAAACCTGATGATGTTCAATGCTGAAAAATGCAAGGTACTCCACCTCAGGGGGCAGCAAAAAACCCGCAGCATGCTTATAGGTTCGGCAGTGCTACGCTTGCTAGCACCACGGCTGAAAGAGACTTGGGGGGTCATGACTGACCACAAGATGAACATGAGCCACCAATGCAATGTCACAGCTGGTAAAGCAAACAAAACTCTGGCTTGCATCCATAGATGTTTCTCAAGTAAATCCCAGGATGTCATCTTCCCGCTGTACTCGGCCTTGGTGAGGCCACAATTGGAGTACTGCATCTAGTTCTGGGCTCCACAATTCAAAAAGGATGTTGAGAAGCTTGAGAGAGTCCAGAGGAGAGCCACACACATGATCAGAGGGCAAGAGAACAGGCCTTACGATGAGAGGCAGAGAGCCATGGGACTCTTCAGCCTGGAAAAGCGCAGGCTCTGGGGGAACCTGGTGGCTGCCTATCCTGTTCATCAGAGCACCCCAAGGGATAACAAGGACCAATGGTCATAAACTCCTCTGTGACCATTTTAGACTGAACATAAGGAAAAACTTCTTTACTGTCTGAGCCCCCAAGGCCTGGAACAGACTCCCTCCAGAAGTGGTGCAGGCACCTACTTTGGACTCTTCAAGAAATGCGTGGATGCTTATCTTGCTGGGATCCTTTGACCCTAGCTGACTTCCTGCCCCTGGGGCAGGGGACTGGACTTGATGATCTTCAAGGTCCCTTCCAGCCCTAATGTCTATGAATCTATGGAAAAAAACCCTAAAATACAGGATACAGAGTCGGTATAAATGATCAGTACTCACAACAGAGGGTGGTAAGCTGTGGGATCCCCATAGGATTTGTTCTCTTTAACCTATTTATAAATTATTTGGAAAGGGGAGCATATAGTAAGGTGGTCATGTTTGTGGATGACATTGAATTATTCAGGATGGTAAAAAGCACAGCTGGCTGAGAAACCATAGAAGGATCTCAGAAACTTGAAAAGGGGAACAAAAAAACTGGCCAACGAAATTCAGTGTTGACAAGTGCAAAGTGGAAAAGAATAACTCTAACACACCTACATAAGGCTGATGTTAGCTGCTACTCCTCAAGAAAGAGAGGTTGGAAGGACTGGGGACAGCTCTCTGAAGGCATCAGCCTAGTATTCAGCAGCCACCCAAAAGGCAAAAAGGAAGTTAAGAATTACTGAGGAGGAAACTTTATACAGAAAATGTCATGAGACTGAAGTTAGTTCCTTATTCTTGGTTCCTTATTCCTGGTTCCCGGTTCCTTTTTCAAAGCTAATCTTTACACAGTTAAAAGTTGATAGGAATGAATTAGATGCGTTAAAGAGTTAGGATTTCATCAGAAAAATGTATATTTACTAATAAAATGGTTAAACAATATGACGTATCAAGTAGATGTATCAACACAGACCTGAATAAAGAGCAGAGATTAGGCTGGGATTATGGGGCAAAATCCATTTAGGGTCACCCCAAACCACACATCTCTATTGCCAGGGGACACTTCTGAATAAGTCTGAGCAGGGCACTGCCCAACCTGAAGTTTGGTTTTCTCATGCCGGCCTGCCAACCGACAGCCCCCCAGGCCTTTGTGCAATTTACATTGCCCCAAATAAGGAACTGAGTTTGGGCTGCGATTACAGGTGAAAATTTTTTCACCTGTAAAATTTTTTCACCTTTTTGGATCATCCATTTGTTCATCTGTCTCCCACTGTCTGGGCTCCACTTCTACACTGGCTGATGACCAGGGTTAAAGAGCTCAGTGGACTTCAGTTCTGCAATTTTTGGTGGCATTTTCTCTAAGGTGCTCTTCTATACAAAGCCATTGGCACCCTAGAGGTTGCCAAGTGATTTAACCACCACCCAGCAATAACAGTCAAGGGTAGTTCCAGCTACTGTAAATTACGGTAGCAGGTGAACCTCACCTGACCTGCATTAGCAGGTGAACACATTAGTGTTCTTAATTCCCCAAGAGCAAGGCTTTGGCTTGTATTTAACTATCTCTGTGTGTCCTTGATGATGTCCTTAGTGTTTCTAAGACATTTGTACAGCAACAACATGGCTTGGTATGCTTTACTTCCGAAGACATGTGGGAGGCTGCTCTGACGTGCTATGATTAAGCGAGTCTGCTGGAGTGTGCTAATTAGCATGCTCCAGCTATCCCCCATGTCTCATGTATCAGCATCCCCACACTTCAACTAAAGCTCGTTCAATGAGCTTTCGTTAAAGTTCCCCCACCACCATTTTGAAGCGTAGGGATGCTGATATCTGTGGGTGCTTTAATTAGAGCGCTCCCACAGCCGCTCTAATTAAAGCACCCTTGGAGCACGTGTAAAAATACCTTTGGAGAATTTTTCTTCAGCTGCCGGTGGATTTCCACATCCTAGCTTTTTTACTTCTAAAATTCCATCAGAGTAATGCCAGCTCTCAGTCTCACCAAGTTTGTGGAAACATATAAAATGGCTGTCAATATTGCACGTTACCCCAATTACTTTGTACCTGCAATGAAAAAAAATGTTTGTTTTACCAGACTGATAAATTTGCGAATATGTCTGATGTTGTCTGTTGAATTAATCATGACTAGCGACATGTTTTAATTAGCAACATACCATTTACTTAAATACAAGAGACCTAAATACAAGACACAAGAAAGGGATTTTGGGGGCAAGAGAATTGAGTACTACCACATCTGAAAAGGCAGCTACTGACATTTGTTCATAGTTCATAGTTAGTAGTTGGTAAGGTCAGAAGGGACCTGAGCAGATCATCAAGTCCAACCCCCTGCCATGGCAGAAAAGAGTACTGGGGTCAAACGACCCCGGTGAGGTGTTCATCCAGCCTCCTCTTTAAGACCCCCAGGGTAGGAGCCAGCACCACTTCTCTTGGAAGTTGGTTCCAGATCCTAGCTGCCCTGACAGTGAAGTAGCACCTCCTGACGTCTAGTCTGAATCTACCCTCTGCCAGCTTGTGACCATTATTTCTTGTCATTCCTGGTAGTGCTCGGGGGAACAGGGACTCCCCCAATGCCTGCTGGTCCCCACTGACTAGTTTGTAAACTGGCCACTAGATCCCCCTTCAGCCTTCTCTTGTGGAGGCTGAGCAGGTTCAGGTCTCGTAGCCTCTCCTCGTAGGGCCTGCCGTGCTGACTCCTGATCATGCGGGTGGCCCTCGTCTGGACCCTCTCAATGCTGTCCACATCCCTCCTGAAGTGCGGTGCCCAGAGCTGGACACAGTACTCCAACTGTGGCCTGACTAGTGCCGCATAGAGGGAGAGGATCACCTCCTTGGACCTGCTAGTGATGCATCTGTGGATGCATGACAAGGTACGGTTGGCCTTCCTGATTGCATCCCCACACTGTCGGCCCATGTTCATTTTGGCATCAATAATGACTCCAAGATCCTTTTCTGCCTCTGCACTGACGAGAAGGGAATTCCCCAGCCTGTAGGTATGGTATTTGAGAGGGTGTGGTTCAGAAATTTGATATAAAGTTACATAGGTATATAGTTTTATTTCAGTTTATTTAATGTCATCACAGCTACAACATAACACTTACACTACCATCTTACTTAATGTCATGTATAGAAATCTGGTAGAAAAAGCCAAGAAATGGCGCCTCAAAAGGCTTTTTCAGGAAAGTCCACCAGGGGTGGAGAGGTGCAATTTGGGATGACCTGAAAAGGATTTTGTCTGGAAATCCCAGTCTAACCTCAGCCCCTTATTTGGTGCTGTTTACATAGTAAACAGGCCTGGGGGCTGTCAGTTGGCTAGCTGGTATGAGAAAACCAAGCTTCAGGTTGGGCACCATCTTGCCCAGATTTATTCAGGAGAGACCCTACGTCAGGGAGATGTGTGGTTTGGGGCGACCCAAAGAGGGTTTTGCCCCATAATCCCAGCCCAAAGTCAGTTCCTTATTGGCACTATGTATTTATTATAAAGGCCTGAGGGGTTCAGTTATCAGGTTAGCACTCAAAAACTGAGCTTTTGGTTGGGCAGCAGCCTGCAAAGCCTTCAGAAGAGTCTCCCAGTGGCAGAGACACATGGTCTGGGGTGATCCGAAAAGGATTTCCACCCATAATCCCAGCTCAAACCCAGCTCCTTATTCAAGACTTGGTACAAAGGCCTGGAGCATGTCAGTAGGCAGCCTGGCACACAAAAGCCAAGCTTCGGGTTTGGCAGGGGCCTGCCCCAGCTTCTTCAGGAGAGTGCCTCAATGGCAGAGATCACGAAAGCCGCGTGCCCCTGGAGGCTGCAGGGGCACGGTGACCACCTGCAGGCGGTGGTGGCAGTGTTAGTGACAGGGGTGTGGCGGTGGTGAGCAGGGACCACTTGCAGGCAGCTGCGATGATGTCAGCAGCGAGGGTGGGCAGAGTCGGGGCTGCCCGCAGGTGGCTGCAAGTGTCAGCAGTGACGGGGGGTGATGGGTGGCAAGTGGGGACTGCCCACAGCTGCTGTTGGCAGTAGTGAGCGGAGATAGCCTGCAGAAGCTGGCGGCAGTTTCGGTGGGAGCTGATCTCAGGGGGGCATGGCCTATGGCAGAGATGTGTGGTCTGAGATGACCCAAAACCCCCGACCCAAACCCAGCTCTTTATTCAGGCCTGGGGGCGGTCAGCAGGCAGCCTGGGATACAGAAACCAAGCTTCGGGTCAGGCAGGGCTCCGCCTAGGCTTCTTCCCGAGAGTCCCGATTGCTGGGACGTATCTTTTGACCTGAAAAGGATTTTGCTGCGTAGTCCCATTGATGTAATCTTTTTATGTAATCTTTTTTATGGTATATCTAGCTTTTGCAAACTATATCTAACTGAATACTTAAGGCAACTTACTGGTGCTGGGAGGGGTGTGGTATGTGTGTGTTAAGAGATGCTTGCAGAGCACAGCGTGTGGGATGCCTCCCTAACACCAGCAGGATAATGTCTCCCTGACACCTGTAAGATAGCAAGAAGTTCAGAAAAAGGTCTCATTATAATGCTAAAAATCACACCCCTGGGTAGAGCAAAAGTATGTTAATGAAACATATATGTATGTAAATGAAATACTTGGCTAAAACATAGGTACAGAGACATGCTCAGTAGAGAATGTCTTATGTCAGTGGCTTGTAACCAATCACTGAGCGATACACTTGCAAACATGCGTATAAAAGGTACCCAAAGGTAGAAACCGGTGTGCTTGTTTTGCGAACGATCGCCAAGCACCCCTCTCTGCGCAGACTTGAAACAATAAAGATTAAGTTGGATCCTCCACCCCTATGTGTTTATTGGCAAAAGCGCACCGGGCACGAACTCACACTGTCCTTTGGAGACAACACCATCCCAAACGCAGCTCCTTGCTCAGGGCCACGTACTGTGGGTGGCGGGCTGGCACAGAAACACCGAGCTTTGGGCCGGGCAGCGTCCTGCCAGGCTTCTTCAGGAGACAGATGGCTCGTGGTGACCCAAAGTGGGTTTTGCCCCATAATCCTAGCCTAACCTCGGCTCTTTATTCAGGGTCATGCCCCTAATACAGATTATTTTACACTGTTTTTAGCAAATACAAATTTCTGGTGAACTCCGAAGTCTTTAGCGCGTCTCGTTCCCTGCGAACATCCTTCCCCCGTGTGAAGATTAGCTCTCAAAGGGCCGGGGGCTGAGGAACCAACTGTGGCCGCGCCGGCCCGAGGAGGCTGCCCAGCCTCAGCAGAGCGCGGAGCGGAGCGGAGCGTCACCTCCCCTCCCCGCGCGAACCGGGGACCGGGCCCGGCCCGGGC